GACGGGCCGTGCTCCATCAGGGGCTAAAAAAATATCGCTGCGTATATTTTGTATGCACTCTTTCACACATATCCGTGTCCGGGACGGGCCCGTAGTTCATACAAACTAGCACGCCCCGTCCACGTCCCGGGCACGGCCCTGATACGTGTGGATAGTCCATAACTTTGGTAAAAACATCACTTAAAAATTAACCTAAAATCTACGTTTACAGTAAACGTTTAAAGTATAGTAATATTACTTAAAAGGGATTCTCGAGGTACTACAATTGTAAAGATTGTTTCTTGAAATAAAAACATTTGATTTTTTTTAGTATATTTTTAATCGATTAACTACTTTACGACATTCTGTTATCGTCATGTACGGAATGTATTTTCATGGAAATTACACTTTCTAAGTATTTAACCTGTTAAGATAATTTTTTGCTGCAGTATTGGAAGGGGGAATTGATGAGCGAGAAAATTATAAAGTCTGGTAAGATTAAAATGATATAGTATAATAATGTAATCGTCAACTACTGCACTATCCGAATAACTTTGAAGTTTGGTCTATCTATAGTACGATTTTTTATTTGATCACGAACATGTTAAATTTTCAAAAAAATCCTGACTACAAGTGTACAATCAGAACTTGAAAATGGCCTAAAAAACTATCTTAACTTGTAGTGTTTTTGCTTCATACATGACGTGCACCGAGTCTCTAAAAATCAAAATTGACAATTTGTATCATAATCGTTATTTGAACAATTTTAACTTAATTTCTCAAAAAAAACATGACTTCAACTCACATTTACCTTAATTATTACCACGTTAATCTCTAATAGCCATAATGTACACATGTAATGTACTGATACAGAGAACTTTCATTGTTGTGTTGTTGTTTTTGGACCACTGTAAATGAGCCACCCTGTATAAAAAAGTCATGGTAATGAAATGGCACTGCGTCAGCATCAATGCCGCTGTTGCCGATGGTGCTGGTATTCTCCCAGAACCATAAGCGTTCAACTGTACCTCTGAAATACCTGGATAATAATTGCTTTTATAAACAGACTGTGAAGTGAAATTGAAACTGAATACTGCCAAAATGTATTTAATAAATTTTTAACATGTAAGTTGTAGTCTAGTGCCAATAAAGAGTGATAGTAATACTCTTGGAGGTAGCTCCATATTGTTAAATGCACTATAAGACTGTTTTATAGCAAAAATAAATGATTTATCAATGCTATTTTTTGTTTTATTTGTGTTAAACCTAGTGTTGGGTCATGGAAAAATTTCCGTAATATTTTTCAAAGCATATTTTCAGGAAAGTAATCTGGATATTTTTCCTCTATTTTTCCGTCTTCTAAGATTTTCCTATATTTCACATTGACACCTCTCAAAAGTGGAAGTTACTGAACGAAAACGATGGAGCCACAACAAGCGGTCATTTAAATCTCATTTTTTCTATAAGTGGCTTTTATCTATACAAGTTTAATTTCTAATTCACACTAAATAAAACTTGAAAGATATTTCTTAACGTAGAACATAAATTGAGCCTTCTAAATTATATTTTTTCAATTTTTCACCATTTAAAATTTTTCGGAAAAGTAGTTAAATGTGAGGCTGTAGATAACAACCTGCTGGCCTACTATTGACATCATTTCTGATATTATTTTTTTATTTTTATGAAACAAGATTTCATAAAAAATAAGGCATTTGGTAGGTTGATTCCTTGACATCGACGTCGTTTGCTCTCCCAAAGATCGCCACAACCGGCGCTCCCGCGCCGCAAGCTTTTAGCGGAATCCAGCAACATTTACCAGGCCATCGGTTTGTGGATGTTCTGCGCACGCTGCGCCTTTCGGTATTTGGTTGTCATTCGTGAATTCTAAGCGCTTTTGCGCACTGTATCTGCTTCGTATTCGTTCTGAATACGAGACTACACAAATCTAGAAAACTCGGACCCGTTTCGGATGTCGCTTGTGCGCTGTCCGATAAAAATCCAAGAAAGTACGAATATCGCTTCGACACCTAGAGATAAAATGACTCTTCGGACACCTGTTAGATTCCGGATCGTCATTTTCTCGGATTCGGTACTTCTAAGAATCGAAGGTAACAAGCTGTTCTGCGACCAACGTGCCCCATCCAGTAGTTTAGTAGCAGTAGAGCTTGTGAAAGAGATCGTCCAAGGTAGTACTGCCACCTTACCTATTTCTGCCGCTAAGTAGTAATGTCAGCATTACTGTGTTCCGGTTTTGAAGGGTAAGGGTGCTGCACACAGGCACATGGGACTTGTCAAGTTATGTCTTAGGGTGACGGGCGTAGTGGCAGTGATGATGATGATGGTGATGATCAGATCTTTGCAATTTAAAGCTCTGAGTGGCACTGTTAACTGTTATGGACAGGCGTGAAGCTTACCATCAGGCGCATGACTTGTTCGTCCCGTCACTTTATGTTATAAAAAAAACCCACTACCACTTGCCGCAGAACTGAATCAAAGCGAAAAAGCAAATTTTAGTAACGAAATTGTATGCTATAATATTACTTCGAGTTACAAGAATTGGAGAGGGGGTGGGTTATATTTTTCTGTATCTATATGTATACTTCACTTATGCCATTCTTCCATGAGGGGTGCGAATTCATGGCCCGATCCGGCACGGGCTAGCATGTATAGGCCCGTGGTCCGAGCACGCCCGTACAAAACGTCGCCCGTGCAATCATAGGCCATGGGAGCAGTGTTGAGCAAAATTTAATTGTTGAGGCATTGACAATTAATTAATTCGACCCCTCCTACTTCACTGAAAGAGTGATCACCATAGATCATTTAACCGATATCTAGGATTTTATAATACTCTATGTGAGTAATGAGCGTTGCCGAATAAAACTGAGAAATGCTAAAGTCACGTGTTATGTTCGTTTCAGTGAATTCAGAACTTTAAAACGCTTCCCTGTAAACTTGGCAATTTCGACATACGATACTTTACGTCGGAGGGGTCGAATTGTTAATTGCTGATATCGCAACTAAGGATTAACCAATTGTTAATCGTGTATATCTACAATTGACATCTAATCAATTTTCAATCTATACAATGTTTTTGATTAAAAATTAACAATTAAAACTGACAATTATGATATATGTATTTATTGGGCGTGGAATGGCGTCATTCAGAACAAATGTATTATTGAAGTGGGTATTGAAATAAATATATATGTATTGTATGTAGTAATTAAAAGACTAATATTTATCATCAAAAATTTTAATTAGACGTGATTGGAAACGTTATTACTATTACAGATTGCTTGTCCCTAATAATAGTGGAGATTGCATTTTAATACAACTCTCTTTTCAAACATAAGTACTGTTGGACAATTTGTGGTTCTTCGGCAGATTTGTTATTGTTGCAAAAGAAAAAAGCTGTTCAACTGCTGCGAACGACACTAAAGGCGTATTGCACTATTCCTAAAACTTTTTTTTTTAAATGGTATCTATCGCCTTCGTATTCATTCTCGGACTTCGATTTCATCTAATAGTATACTCTTAATGCTTTTTTTCGGTACTTTTTGTTTTAATAGTTAATTTTATTGTTTAATAGTTAGTGTTTTAATTGCGAATTACAATTAACGTACATCAATTAATGGTTTAATTTGCAATTGATGTTAATTGCAATTAAATTAATTTCAATTAATTTTTTAGTCAATTAAATAACTGATTTCTGTTTTTTTTTTATTAATGCCCAACACTGGTGGGAACTGGATTGGTGGTGACAACGGTAATATAAGAAGCGATCGTGTGAAACAGTAATTATGGAAGTGTATTTGGGTTAACAATCACAAGGTTTCTCAATCAAACAATGGTTGTATCACAATAATTTATTTTTACAAATGAGTTACGGATCACAACAGCTCTCACAAGGTATAAATCGTTCATGTGTTAGAAATGATGTCTTCGGGTACGAACAAAAAAAAATACATATAATTACACAATAAACAAAATGGAAATCATTTCACAAGTATGGAGAAAATAATTACGAACCAGCGCGAAGGCACAATTCATCTTTTTACAAACGAAGTTAAGTCGCAAAATTTGAGCTCGACTTTCAAAAATCGTCTATCTAAGTCAACTTGTCACTTGTAGTGATAAAAATTTCATAGATAAAATCTACTTTCGATATGCGACTAACGAATTTTGGTCCCACGCTTGGGGCATCACGCCGGCAGTATGAGGCTACTGTCCCACAAATACAATACTCTGTTAGAATCATCTAAACACTTACGCTAAAAAAACAATGTCGCTAACGGGACATTATTAACAAATTTTATTATCTAGGTAAGTATATGCGCTGGACGTCGCCGTTCGCAGATAAATCCACCTAATAAATGGACCTGATACAGCGACACGGGACATTCTCTCCGATATTTACGTATTTTAAAAAACGTTCACTGGCAATTCTTAAAAAAACCTTATCAATTAAAACAATACTCTTCTATGCACTAATAAAATTTTTATCTATCCGATATCCGTTTACGGATATTAAGAAACACTTTTTTTTTATAGACAAACTGACATCACCAGCATTATTATGGACTCTGTAGTTGAATTTGCAGAGTACATTTACCTTTACCTCATGGAAGTATATCCATATAAATTGGATAATACACAAATACTGCATTTTATTCTATACTTTTAATGTGTAACTACACTCATGGACATACTTAGAGAAACGCCAACAAAACGGTTTTATTACGATAACAAGTTTCATATCACACCCCTCATGAAAGAATGGCATAGTGGAGTTACGTCAAAAACGTTTATTGCTTTATTAGATACAGAAAAATATAACACACATCCTCTCCAATTCTTGTAACTCTATCGACTAATATTGTGTATGTGTAGCATTACAAAAATTGGAGAGGATGTGGGTTATATTTTTCTGTATCTAATGGAGCAGTAAACATGTTTGACTTAACTCCACTTATGCCATTCTTCCAGGAGGGGTACGCTATGAAGTAATGGCCACATATAACGATCGACAAAAAAGACGATCAATCGTCTTCGGGTGTCAATTCGAAACCGACTTCAATCGTTCTTTTTTCATTGTTATAACTTTTTTGTTTTGCGTTCCTCTAAATATGTCCATAAGTGTAGTTATTTTACTGCGGTAATGTATTGAGAAATTTTGTAATTTATAGTAATTTTTAATAATTCGGAGATTTCAGATTGAGGTGTTATGCACTCTATACATGTATTACATGAAGTTTGGGTAAATATAATCTGTTTTTTCCGATCTGTGTTTATTATATATGGACGTTAAATGAGTAATTGAAAACTAAACGCTTCTTCGCTTTCCACCGGCAAATATCGAATGTCCTAAAAGACGTCAGCATAGATTATTTACAACTATGGCGGCGCCACGAACGGCAGATGCTTACGATAAAATCTTAGAACACAATTTACAAGCCATCGGGTGTTCGTATAATTATGCTTTTTGTACCATCGCCGTAGGACGACGATTACTCTACGAACTACCGTCGAAATGACGTCAGAGGCCTCACAAAAAAAATCATACAATACCGCCTTAATACAAATCTGAACTACAGTGTTAGAATAAATGAAAATCCAGACTAAATTATTAAGATGACTTTTGTTGCTACATTTCATATGAAGCCGTGATAATGTATCTCACTAGTTAAGTAGTGGCAAGTTCGCGTAATCGGGGCCCTACTGTAATATAATACAACTCGTGTACAGAACTAACTTAGGCTACTTATTTACATGATGGTTGGCTGCGGCTGCGGTTGCGGCAGCGGCCGACTACCTGAAATGTAAACAAAATGTCACATACATTGCTTAAGAGTTAATACTACCTCAGCTGGAATTATGACACTGGCTTTATTTCAGAACATATTTTTTTACAAACAAAATTAAAATCATTTGTAAAATGTATATCACACACTTATACATAGACCCCTAAGACGTAAAGTATCGTATGTCAAAATTGCCAAGTTTACAGGGGAGCCTTTGAAAGTTCTGAATTCACTGAAATAAGCATAACATGTGACTTTAGATTTCTCACTTTTGTTCGGCAAATCTCGTTACACACGTTGAGTATCATAAAATCCTAGATATCGGCTAGATGATCTATTAGATGATCACTCTATGTGAGTAACAAGCTTTGCCGAATGAAACGGAGAACTTTAAAACGCTCCCCTGTAAACTTGGCAATTTCGACATACGATACTTTACGTAGGAGGCGTCGACATGTTCTATTTAGTTCTGTTGATATGAAAATAATCACTGGTTTAAGCAAAGTACCTATTGAATACACCAGTTTTCTTGTAAAACTTCATTATCATTCTTACACTAACGTCACAATACATTTTATCAATATGCTATTTATGTTAAGAATTATATTAATGTTTTTTATGAAAAATAGTGACAGACGTAACGTTAATACGAGGAATAAAAATAAACTAGCTGTTCTTTACAATTGTCTTCATATAATCTCAAATTCATGTATACGCTTCTATGATAAGATTCCGATTGATATTTAAAACTTGCCATTTACGAGGTTTAAAACTATAGTGAAACAAACTTTATACTAAAGGTTAGGTCCATCTAAGATGTTTAAATTGAATATTGTAATGACAAATGTATTCAAATGTATATTTACAAAGAGCAACCCCTAGAGTTTCTTGCTCGTTCTTCTCAGAGGAATCTGCCTTACGAATGAGCGGTAGAGTTTAAGCAGTATGACAATATATTTTTATGTTAGTTTGTAAGATACTAACACTATTGGACCATACCATACTTTAATGACAAAATATAATAATATTGTAATAAATTTTAATAATTAAAGTAATACATAATAAATAAATCTTGAATTATATAATATATCTATATTATTGTAATTTAATCGGAGTGTTCTAAGTGACATACTTTTATTATACATATATTGATATTGAACAATCAAAATAACTAATCTAAGCCTCGGCCTGCCTCTGCTCTTGTTGTTATCCCTAAGACAGGACTCATATGTGTAACATTATTTAAACTTTGAGACCTTATGTACCATATGAAGACAATAAATACTTTGAGTATTGTCTGAATAAATAATTATATTATTATAATTATTACAATTTGTTTTGGTAGATCAAACGGTTTAAGTAGTTACAATGAATTAATTATAAAAAACATACGATATTATACCTAAGTACATTGTCTAAAGAATGTGCTAACTCATTACACGATCGAATGTACTTTACTAAGAAACTCCAGGGGTTACTCTTTGTAAATAAATCAAATATCATACATTGAGACAACCTGCTAAAGCTAAACGGGTCTCTAACATGGATTTTTCTCATCCAAGCACGCAGAAGCTATTTTAATATAAAGTTTTTGTCGTCTCGTAAATGTCATATTTTAAATAGCAACCGGATTCTTCTAACTGCCTACGGAGGCAGTTACCGCATGGTAACCGTTCGGCCACGGGGCCGAACGGTTACCATGCCGGACTGCCATGCAGAGGTCCCAGGTTCGATTCCCGGGCCGGGAGAAATATTTGTATGGCCTACATTTATTTGTCTCGTGAGTTAGGGTGCAATTTGTAATTGTCTATTTGTGTGTCCATGGCACCCGCGACACAGGGTTTCCCTAGTGCTATGTCGAGTGTGTGCGTTATTATAATATCTCAAAAAAAATATTTAAAAAAAATTATAAAAAGTTAGAAGATATAATTGACTGCTCTAAAATTATACACCCACTCGCGATCTTCACTGACTGCAACGGACTATTCTAAATAGGGGATAAAATAAATACCTTCGGTAGTGGTGTACATTAGTGTACAGCAGAGCATTCAGAGTCGCTAGCAGAGTACGGCGCGGTCGGGCGGCGGGCGCGGCGGTCGGGAGCCGCGCACGCGCAGGCAGCCCGACGAAGAGGCATCGCCCGCCGCCAGCTTGGCGGCGCTGGCCACGGCCGGCTTCTCGTAGTCCGGCTGGAACTTCTTGCACAGCGCTAGCACGGACGGTGGGTGGGGATGCGACTTGCGGGACACCTGTCGGTCACACTG